CCAGCAGCACTAACTCACCCAGCAGCACTGCAGCATAAAGGCCTGGTGATATGCTTTCCTAAAGATTATAGCTAAAAAAAACCCTATGGAGGAATTCTACTCTGTGACACGTGGGGTCGCCATGAATTTGAATATAAACAGGTCCTTTTATGCTGTGAGCTACACCCTTGCTGTTGCTGGTTGCCCATGCTGCTGACTCCCAACTCATGGCGGCCCATGTGTGTCAGGGCAGAACTGTGCTCCACAGGTTTTTCAAGGCTGTGACCTTTTAGAAACAGATCACCAAGCCTGTCTTTCACAGTGCCTCTGAGTGGGTTTGAACCACCAAACTTTGGGCTAGCGGTCAAAGTTGCTTAACCAAAATGCTCATCTATGTCCATGTAGCGGCCAAGCCAGTTCACCATCAAGGGGTACCAAGAGTTGCCCTGATGACGACCCAGGAGCAGAAACCTGCTGCTTTGCTGTCAACACCTGGTCCTGTCCCACAAATGTGTCCAGCAGCTTGGACACTGTCCCAGGAATGGGAACAGCTAAGAACCTCACAGACAAGGGTCCTGCAACATACGAGAAAAAAAGTTTTCACTCTTTTTCAAGCTTATAGAACAGGATGATAAGAGGATGACTGAGGGTTGGGAGGGAGGCCCTCGGAGAAGGTGATGGTTTAACTGTGGCCAGAATGACCAGATCCAAAATGACAGTGACTTGAGAGGTCATGAGCCCCCGACCGCACCTACAGTCCTAGCAGGAGGAAGCTCCTCCCTCCACGCACCCCTGATCCTCTGCTGGCAACACTGCTCACACACAGCACACATCTGTCTGTCTGTCTTCCCCGATACACTACAAGGGATCTTCACCTACGGCAATCGTGACCCCAAAGGGATACTGGGCAACATCTGGAAACATCTGTGGTTGTCTGAATGGGAGGGTATTGCTGGCATTGAGCAGGTAGAGACCAGGGACACTGCTCAACACCCTATGGGGCACAGCATGATCTCCACTACAGAGAATATTCCAGAACTGTATGTCCATAGTGTCACAGTCAGAAAGCCCTGCACTGAAGGCTCCTCAAAGGCTGGGACCCTCTTATTCACCTTACCCAGCATGTAAGAGCCGCTTTCTTCTGTAGTTGACAGGATTTGTGAAGAAAGGAATTTTTTAAAAAAATCTAAGCTCTACTTCAGAACAGTCACACCAGAAAAACCAATAAGAAAATCACACGAGCTTTTGCACGTGAGAGTTTCACAGGTGTTCAGGTGACAATGGACTCAGAGAATCCCAGAAGCTGAAGGTATACCTCATTAGTGCCTATGATAAAGCCACATGGTTAATAACCAAGCTGTTGGGACACAGGCCAGAAAATCAGACCAGAACTGTATACACCACCTGACACTGTGTGGGCACAGAGTCAGGTTGCTGTGCCGGAAAGCCCATCTCTGACTGCAGAAGAAGTGCCCTTGCTAGAAATGGCTGCCTCCAGGCTGGGGGAAGATGCTAATGCCTTGCTTGAGTGGCTACCTAATGAAGGCTCTCATCATGCCTTCCTTCATGTCAATGGACCGTTGTCGTAGTTCCCCAGTGCTGCTCTAACAGAAATACCACAAGTGGGCGGCTTAACAAACAGAAATTTATTTTCTCACAGTCCAGGAGGCTGAAGTCTAAAGTCATGGGCGCTGGCTTAAAGGGAAGGCTGTCGACTCCAGAAGATCCTTGTCTCGACATTCTTTGGCAATCCATATGGCGCCTGTCTCCCCCCATTTGTGCTTGTTTGCTTCTGTCTAATCTGCTTTTTTAACAGCTCAAAACTTAATTGGTTTGAGACCCACCCTGTACAGATAGGGTCTCATTAACATAACAGAAAACTATTCTCAAATGGAACATCCACAGGTGTAGGAATTAGGATTCCATCACATATTTTTTAGGGGACACAATTCAGCCCATAACAACCGTGGTCACGTAAACCACCTGGAGGAAAACTAGACTGCGTCTTCTACAGCCCTCCAGCCAGGTCTTTTCTGTTTGCACCACCCAAACCAAAGCCAAACGCACTGCCATCAAGTAGATCCAACTCATAGCGACCCCCCACCCTTGGGTTTCTGAACCCTCCTTGGGTTTCCATGGCATTATCTCTACCGAAGTAGATTGCCCAACCTTCCTTCTGAGAAGTGGCTGGTGGGTTTCAACCACCAACCTTCTGGTTAGCAGTCACATGCCCTAGGCACTACGCCACCAAAGCTCCTAGAGACCTTTAAACCAAACCCACTACCGTCAAGTCGATACTGACTCATGGCAACCCCGTGGGTCACACAGAACTGCTCCACGGTTTTCTGGATGCCTCCCTAGTCATGACAACCTCAACTATCTTCACACTGCCAGGTGTCCCCTGGGGGAAGAACTGCTGGACTAAGAATCACTGGTCTAGGTGAACCAGTTCCTCCATTCCCTGCAGTCCCCACCCCTGGAATTTGTTTTTAAAAAAAACAACAAACCATCAACCCAGTTGCTGAGTTGCTGTTGAGTTGATTCTGCCCCCGGCCCCCGCGACCCAGTGTTAGAGAACTGTGCCCACAGGGCATTCTCAGCTCCGATATATAGGGAAGCAGATCATCAGGTCCCTCCTACAGCACCTTGAATGGGTTTAAACTGCCAAATTTCAGAGGTTAGCAGCTGAGTACACGTAACCGCTGTGCCCAGGGACTCCAGAGGATTTGAGTGGGGAAGGTAAAAATCGTCTTTGATGGAAGGGGTTGCCAAGTGCTCTGGAAAACAGGGAGTCAGGATTCATAGAACAGTGAGAGGCAGGTGCTGTGGCAGTGGTCAGCCTCTTTCCACAGAGCCTAGTGGATAAATTATCCCTTTCCTCTTTGTGAGGCAAGCCCTGTCATCAGCACCTTGTCCCATAAAGCTTAGGGTTTGTCTCCATGTTCAAAAGAAACCAGGAAATGTAAAGGTGCCAGCTCCTAAGAGCTTCCATTTCATGTCTGGAAATGGAAACCCTGGATCCAGACATGGGGCCAAAGCCTCTAGACATTTAAAGTGTTTATCAATCCTTGGAAAAGTCAAGGCAGGGCCAAGTTCATTTGCAATAATGTACATGAGGGTGGTTCACTGCGTCTAAAGACCCACGTCAGTGGTGGGTGGTATCACATCATTTCCTAGGGAATCATGATGGCACAATGGTTAAGCACTTGGCTGCTAACCCAAAGATCGGCAGTTTGAATCTCCCCAGTGGCTCCATGACAAAAGGGCCTGAAATCTGCTTCTGTAAAGATTATAGCTGAGAAAACTCTATGGAGCAGTTCTAATGACACACGTGGGGTCCCCTTACTGGGTCAAGTGGGTGGAGGGCAGATGCTGCTTTGTATCACACAGTGTGCTGGCTGGTCCCCATAGCAAAGAATGACTTTCTGTCATTCCTTGTCAATAGTTCTAAGGCTGAGAAACCCCAACTTAGAGAAACATGCAATGCCTACCTCATAAGCGTAAAGCTCAGGTAAGGTTTCCTTCTCTCAGGGGGTCTGTGAGCTTAGGTGCCTGGGTAGTCCAAACAATCTGCACTCAACTACCGAACTAATGACTGGTGGTTCAATTGCACCCAGCAGCACTGCAGAAGAGAGGCCTACTGAATTGCTTCTGTAAAGATTATAGGCAAGAAAACCTTACAGAGCAATTCTACTCTGTAATATATGGGGTGAACTGGAAAGATGTGCTAGCAATGAACAACACTGCAGTGAGCACAATCAAGAAAAGGCCACAGAAGAAGCCGCAGCTGCTTGTCACCAGACTAAGAAGACAAGGATGCAACGGGCCTGGGGGAGGAGGAGAGATTGACCTGAGCCAATGTTTCATCAGCAGTGAGACAAGCACGAGGCACAAGGAAGACAGTTCTTCGCACACTTGTTTCAATCACTTTACTGGCAGCACCAAGATCAGTCAGATACTGACGGGTACTCGCCCAAGTATGCTGACAGGCCTCCCTGCAACGTTCCCAGGGAAAGCCTCTTGCCAAGACCATCGTCACTGCTGATGCCGTTATGATCATCATTTAACATTTTTGTAAAAATTTAGTTAATATCCAAACCCACTGCTGTAGTCAATTCTGAGTCATTGTAACCCTCCAGGATAGAGGAGAACTGCCCCATAGGTTTCCAAGGCTGTAATCTTTACAGATATACATTGTTACATCTTTCTTCCCAGAGCGGCTGATGGGTTTGAACCTCCGAGCCAAGTGCATGACCACTGCGCCACCAGGGCTCCTTTCACAACACTTGCCAAGTCAACGTCTTCCACATGTACAATTCAGTAGCACCAATTCCATCAATCATGCTAGGCAACCATCACCACCACCTGTTGACAAATTTTCTATCATCATAGAAACTCACTGCTTCCCAAACATCTCCTCACCTCCCAAACTCCCCATCTCCTCCTCTCTCCTGCCCCTGGCCACCCCTATTAACTATATGCTTTGGGGTCCCTAGGTAGTGCAAACGGTTAAGTACTTTTGACTGAAGTCAAAAGGTTGACAGTTTGAACGCATCCCAGCAGTACCTCAGAGATAAGGCTTGGGCTCTGCTTCCATAAGGCCATAGCCTTGAAAACCCTACGGAGCACAGTTCCACTCTGCACTCACAGGGTCGCCAGGAGTTAGAGCTAACTGGATGGTAACTAACAACGTATGTATGCCTCTTCTAGTTATTTCATGTAAGTGGGTTCACAGGATTCAGTTATTCTGACTTCAAGGAAAACTCTGTGTTAGGAGCAGGCCTCTGTGACACATGTGCATATCCACTCTTGATCTAAACCCCCCAGGCAGACCCAGCTGGGATGCAGGGGCTGCCCCTGTAGGTGTTTTGATCTAATTTGACGCGTGCCAGAAATGATTACCCTGCCTTGAAAAAGACCAGCTCTCACATGGCTTCCAGCAAAGAAATCCGTCCCCCACCCCCAGGTCCTGTGATTCCCAGCATGAACTCCTAGGTCACTGAAGCCCGGCAGGGCCCTACCTGGCTCGTCAGTGGCGACTGTATATTTAACTTGCCATTCTTGGGGATGTCTATCCTGTATCCGAGTGGGAGAAATGCATTGAAGCCAACGATGAGGTCTGGGTGCTCGTGAAACAGCTGAGACACACGTCTGATGACCCCAGGAGTGTCGATGCTAGGACAGAGAAGGACACAAGTGGACAGGGGGGTCTTGAGGAGGAAATCAAAAGCAACATCTATTTCTAACTCTCTCAATGGTGCCACATGATGAGCTTTTTGACTGACAGCAAAGCGACCTAAAATACACTCCTCTGCAGCATGACTCTACAGCCAGTGATCTATTTCCAGAGCAGTGAGGGAGAAGCCCCTGGGGGTTCAACAGTTAAATATTTGGCTGCTAAGCAAAAGGTTGGTGGTTCAAACCTACATAGTGGCTGTGTAGGAGAAAGGCCTGGAGATCTGCTCCTGTAAAGATTACAGCCCAGAAAACCCTATGGTTTTCTACTGACAGGTCTACTGTCACCGGCCCCGGGGCTGCTTAGAGTCAGAATCAACTTGACAGCATCCAACAACAACAACAATTCCCTCTGCCCAGCGCAGCGAGGCCTGCCCTCCACCCTCTGCTGAGTATTTACCCAGCACAGCTCCCCAAACACTCCAAGTACATGTGCTTGGTTCAGAAACTGTCAAAAGAAAAAAATGAAACCAGGTGCCATTGAGTTGACTCCAACTCACAGAGATCCCATGTGTGTCACAGAACTGTGCTCTATAGGGTTTTCAAAGTGACCAGTTTACCAGGCCTTTCTTCCAAGGTGCCTCTGGGTCGATCTGAACTCTAACCTTTTGGTTACTGGCTGAGTACTTAATAGTTTGTGTCACCCAGCAATTCCTGAAAATGTCAGCAGCTTTAAATACAAGCCTTGGACTCCAGGAAGTGGCAGGAGGCCAACTCCCTCTAAGCAATATGATAAATCCCTCGTTTTGTAGAATTAGACTCAACCACGACACAGGTTTTGATCTGAGCAACTCATTACAATGAGCCAATACCAAAGACCTTGCAAACATCAGGACTGTAAGGGGAGGGGAGAGGGTCTCTCTCATCACTATGGGCCTGGAACAGGGCTCACGTTAACAACACTCATGGAAGGAAACCAGGCAAGGAAAAAAACCAAACCCAAGCTTGTTGCTCTTGAGTCAATTCCGACTTATGGCAGCCCCACATGTTCCATGAGGTTTTCTTAATTGCATTATAGACCTGGCAATCTGCTCCCGTAAAGAACCGTAGAGGCAGTTCTACTCTGCCACGTGGTGTCGCTACGAGTCAAAATCGACTTGACAGCACCTAATAACACCACCGGCAATTTTTATGGAAGCAGCCTGACAGGCCTTGTATCCATTAACCTTTAGGTTAGCAGTCAAGTGCAAACCTTTTGTAACACACATGGAGGGACCTCTGAAACCAGGCCAGGCCTGCCATATTTCCTAAGAGGGGAGTATCAAGGTGGGCCTGTGACAAGCAAGAATTTAAGGGTTGGGGATCTGAGTTCTAGCTCAGCCTCTGTCCCTAAAGTGGGAGTGAGTAAGGCCCTTGGCCACTCAAAACATCATTGCCCCTCCTATAAAACAAGGACATGATCCTGAGATCCCAAGGTCTATTTCAAACCTTTCTGATTCTGTGCCTGCAAAAGAGCTAATGTCTTTAAATACTTTCTCTGTGCCAGGACCCTCACTAACTGTTGATGCATGGTATTTCCAAGAGGGAAGGATCTAGGTGGATGCAAAATTTCAGGGAGAGGGGCGTCAAAAAACTCAGTCATCAAAATAACAGCGATGCAAGTAATTCCTTGATGAGCAAAACTATGTAAGGCCCATATTTTAAATAAGGGCAGACTCCAACCCTGCATTTACCGACCTCACCTCACTCTGATCCCAACACTGCTTCCAGGATTGTCCACCACAGCTCTACAAGGTGACTACCATTCGTCCCCATTTTGTGGATGAAAAAACTGAGGCTCACAGAGGTTCAACACACGAGGTCACCCGCCTAGGGGGCACCAGACCGGATGGGATCTCTCACTCAGAAGAGCTCGATTTGGGCTCAAGGGGACCCCAGGGGTGGGGAAGGGCCCCGCAGGTACCTCTGGCTTTTGAACTCCTTCATGATCTCCAGGAAACCATTGTAGGTGGCAGGGTCGCTGCCAAAACGGATCTTCACCTGGTCCAGGTATGTGAGGGCGTCCTCCACCTGCGGGGAGGAGGAAGGTCCCGGGAGGCCGGGGTCAGCCGAGGGAGAAGACAGAAGCCGGGGGTCACTTACGGGAAGGGGGACAGGCTGGGCCTCCGCGGGGCCGAAGTGAGAGGTCAGGGGTCCTGGGTCCAAGGCCGTGAGGGGAGACCAAGTTGGGGCGGGGGCCAGGGACGGGCGGGGCCGGGGTGAGGGGCGCCGGCCTGCGGGGGCTGGAGAACTGGGTCCTCGAGGAAGGAAGAGTGCCACTCACGTGCACCGGCAGCTTCTCGTGGCCTGCGGAGCTCGAACGGCCCCAGCGGGCGCCGCTCAGCCCCCGGCCCGCGGGGGGGGCGCCGCCGCAGCCACTACCACCACCACCACCAGCGAGCGCCATGTTGGAAGTCGGAGCCGCGGCCCGCCCCGCCCCCCCCGACCAACTCGAGCCCCTGGCGCGCATGCGCACGCTCCGCCCTGGGGCGAGGACTAGTGCGTCGGAAGGGCAGGGCTGGGAGGAGGGGAGGGGCTCTCGCTGGGGAAACTCAGCTCCTTCTTACCCCTAAACCTGGAATAACTAATACTTTGTACGAAGGTAGGCAAACCGACACCCACCGTCTGCTTTTACGCGGCCCGCAAGCTAAGAATTTTTTTACATTTTCACATATTTACAAAATCTAAAGATTATTTTATGACACGTGAAAATTCTATGAAATTAAAATGTCAGCATCCGTAAAAGTTTTGTTGAAACAGTAACATTCCAGTATTCATTTACCTATCATCCAACTATTCGTTTGCCTATCATCTTGGCTACAGCGAAGTTGAGTAAACCTTTTGCAACACACATGGAGGGACTTCTGAAACCAGGCCAGGCCTGCCATATTTCCTAAGAGGGGAGTATCAAGGTGGGCCTGTGACAAGCAAGAATTTAAGGGTTGGGGATCTGAGTTCTAGCTCAGCCTCTGTCCCTAAAGTGGGAGTGAGTAAGGCCCTTGGCCACTCCAAGCATCATTGCCCCTCCTATAAAACAAGGACATGATCCTGAGATTGCAGTAATTGAGACAGAGGCCCTGCAGAGCCTGAAATATTTCACATCTGTCCCTTTATGGAAAAAGTTTTGGCGTAGTGCCTAAGGCATTTGACTGCTAACCAGAAGGCTGGTGGTTCAAACCCACACCAGCCACTCCTGGGAAGGAAGATTCCCAAAACTGAAAACCAAACTCACTGCTGTGAAGTCGGTCAGACCCCTCCTCGGGTTTCGGAGGCGGTATCATATCACTACCGAAGTAGATAGCCCAACCTTCTTCCCAAGGAGTGGCTGGTGGGTTTGAATCTCCAGCCTTCTGGTTAGCAGTCAAATGCCTTAGGCACTACGCCACTAGAGCTCGCCGGAAGGAAAATTGGGCGATCTATTTCCGTAGAGATACCGCCTCAGAAATACAAGGAGGGGTCGCTATGAGTCCCGACCCTTTGGTTGGCTGTGAGGTTTTTTTTTCCCCCCCACACTAGCTGAAGGATTGGCAGTTCAAAGAGACCCAGAGGCTTCTGGGAAGAAATGCTTGACCATCTGCTTCTGGAAGGCCTCGATAACTCTATGGAGCAGTTCTACTCCCCAGCATGAGGTCACCATGAGTTGGAATTGCCTTGACAGCGCAGCTTTATAGGGTTGGTGTAAAAGTGAGATAAAGACATGCAGCATCCAAACACAGGATCCTGTGTAGTGAATTTGTGCTCAAAAGTCTTTGGCTTAGTCCTACTCTTCCTGTCCTCACTTCCCTTGCCCTGATCCCATCACCTCTCTCTGGACCAGTCCAGAAACGTCCTCATCTGTTTGCCCAGCCCTATCTCTACAACTTTAGAGTGTTGAAGAGCAAAGATGTCACTTTGAAGACTGAGGTACATCTGACCCAAGCCATGGTATTTTCAATCACCTCATATGCTTGTGAAAGCTGGACAATGAATAAGGAAGAATGAAGAATTGATGCATTTGAATTGTCGTGTTGGCAAAGAATACTAAAAATACCATTCTGGACTGCCAGAAGAATTTCAGCTTACTAATGCCTAGGATGGGAGCTCTGGTAGCATAGTGGCTAAGACACTTGCCTGCTAACCAGACGGCTGGCGGTTCAAACCCACCAGCCACTCCTCGGAAGGAAGGTTGGGCAATCCTACTTCCATAGTGATACTGCCTTGGAAACCCAAGGAGGGGTCGCTATGAGTCAGGGCCGACTCGACGGCACATAACAACAACAACAACAATGCCTAGGATAGGAGCTCTGGTAGCATAGTGGCTAAGGCACTTGACTGCTAACCAGAAGGCTGGCGGTTCAAACCCACCAGCCACTCCTCGGAAGGAAGGTTGGGCAATCTACTTCTGTAGTGATACTGCCTCGGAAACCCAAGGAGGGGTCGCTATGAGTCGGGGCCGACTCGACGGCACATAACAACAACAACAACAATCTCTACAAAGAACCAAGATCCTTCCATCACTGTTTCTAATTTGCAAAGTCTTATTTCTCATGAGATGAAATCAAAGTACCTACACCTAACGTCTTGCCTGCTAACCAGACGGCTGGCGGTTCAAACCCACCAGCCACTCCTCGGAAGGAAGGTTGGGCAATCCTACTTCCATAGTGATACTGCCTTGGAAACCCTAGGAGGGGTCGCTATGAGTCAGGGCCGACTCGACGGGAAACAACACACCACACCTAATGTCATCAGAATCTGGCACCCATCAACTTTTTTTTTGCAGGATTTTCCACTCAAACAAACTGCCCTTTATGTATAAAGACCATCCCATCGTTCTCTGACCAGCCAGGCTGCTTCCTGGCCCTGTACATTGGCAAGTGCCATTCCGTTTGCCAGTAGTCGTGTTTTGTCTCTTTGTCATCCGGAAAACTCCTACATTATTGTTGTTAGGTGCTGTCAAGTCAGCTCTGACGCATAGTGACACCATCCTCATAATCCTTGCTACACTTGAGCCCATAATCACAACCACAGTGTCAGTTTACCTTGTTGAGGGTCTTCCCCTTTTTTGTTGACCTTCTACTTTACCAAGTATGATATTGTTCTCCAGGTACCAGTCTGACATCATGACCAAAGTAGGTAAGATGAAGTCTGGCCATTCTTCTAAAGACCATTCAGGCTGTACTTCTTCCAAGACAGATTTGTTCATTCTTCTGGCAGTCCAGAATGGTATTTTTAGTATTCTTTGCCAACACGACAATTCAAATGCATCAATTCTTCATTCTTCCTTATTCATTGTCCAGCTTTCACAAGCATATGAGGTGATTGAAAATACCATGGCTTGGGTCAGATGTACCTCAGTCTTCAAAGTGACATCTTTGCTCTTCAACACTCTAAAGAGGTCTTTGACAGCAGATTTGCCCAGTGCAATACAACATCTGATTTCTTGACTGCTGCTTCCATGAGTGTTGACTGCTGATCTAAGTAAATGAAATTATGACAACTTCAATCTTTTCCTCATTTATTGTGATGCCGCCTATTAGACTTGTTGTAAAAATTTTTCTTTTCTTTATGATGAGATGTAATCCATACTGAAGGCTGTAGTTTTTGATCTTCATCAGTAAGTGCTTCAAATCATCTTCACTTTCAGCAAGCAAGGTTGTGTCATCTGCATATTGCAGGTTGTTAATGAGTCTTTCTCCAATCCTGATGCTATAGTTCAGCTTCTCAGGTTATTTGCTCCATATACTGATTGAATAAGTATGGTGAAAGGAGGCAATTCTGACACACACCCTTCTTGATTTTAAACCATCCAGTATTCCCTTGTTTTGTTTGACTGACAGCCTCTTGGTCTATGTACAGGTTCCTCATGAGCACAGTTAAGTGTTCTGGAATTCTCATTCTTCTCAATGGTAAACAACTTTCTGGTATTCTTTGCTTTTAGCCATGATCCTTCTGACATCAATAATGATATCCCTTGTTCCATGTCCTTTCTGAATCCAGCTTGAATTTCTGGCAGTTGCCGGTCAATATACTGCTGCAACCATTTTTAAAACATCTTTGGCAAATTTTTACTTGCATGTGATACTAATAATATTGTTGGATAATTTCCACATTCTGTTGGATCAACTTTCTTTGGAAAGAGCACAGATATGGATCTCTTCCACTTACTTATGAAGATCAAAGATCAGGGCTTCTTGGATCCACTGACACTGGTTAAAAATGCCAGAGATCAATGCCAAGTGGCGTCACAGACTTACCTTAAGACAATGTTATTGACTTCTGGTAAGATGGAGGAATAGGCAGACAAGCGACACAGACCCCCTTCAACAAAGAAAAGAAAAACCAGTTGACAGAGATACAGAAGATAATCCTGGAAACCTGAGCTTTGAAAGGAATTATACAGAAGTAGATTAGGCACCAACTAATGGAAAAACATGAATGAAAACAGTTGAGTACAGAGATGGTCAGAGCTGCGAACT